GCTATCAGGCATGGCTCACACCCCTGAATACTGAATCCTGCAACCTATAAAATGGATTTTTTAAAAAGAGATTTCCTTGCATTGCTTAGAATGATAATACTGGGGGTTCCCCAGCCAGAAGAAATGATTCAGTTTATATTGTAGCTACACCTCCATTTCTGGTGTTTTGGTCACTTATCCAGCAATGAATTTTGCTTAAAGCAGCTGGCAAATCAATCAATCAATCAATCAATCAGGTAATTTCCTTTGGCCTAATTGGTAATCCACTCTGTCTAGATGCCATAACATTCTGATTTTCAGTTATGAAAACACAGTTGATTGGAGGGGGACAAACAGGAGAAAAGAGAGGGACGAAGCCAAGAGAAAACAAGTTGAAAGAGTGCTGTATTTTCTTCAGGGTTGCCCTAACTTACAAGGGCAGGAAGCATGAAAAAAAGTGTGGGTATGAGACGCCACTGCTACATGCAACATAAAGAAAAGAATCAGGATATTGAACAAATGAATACTCTCTACTGGAAGAAAGACAAATTGGACTGCACTCTGGGCTACAAGGAACCCGTTTTTACTCACAATAGATCACTATCAGTGTAGTTAAAATATAGTAGGGGCCGTGTTCCAAGGCAGCAAGAGAAAAAATAAATCAAAACATTGTCAATTATCATCTGTTAAGGCAATCTTCTTCATAAATATCACTGTATACATGATCTATATCTTGTAGATGCAATAATCTTTTGAGGAAGGAAGAATCACAGCTGGAAACAAAATTATTTAATACAAGGAGGAAAGGAATGAGTAAGCACAGCCTCTCATGTTGAACGTTCATCTCAGATGGCTGTGTCGAAAATGTTAGAACTCTCATTCGGTTATATAAACTTGGGTCAGTTAACGATGGATCTTGCTGCAGTCAATCAATATAGATCAGCACATTAATATGACAAAAGTTTTGTTAAAGACTTCTTTATAGACTTCTATAGACATTTTTCTTAGATCACGCATGCTTATTTTTGGGCAGGTATCTTCTTAGAAGGATCTCCTTCCCGTGAGAAATACCTCTTCTAAAATGGAATTTGTTGCTTTACTAAAAATGACATTATTGAGTTGGGACACATGCTGAAATCAAACAAAATATCTCCAATGGATTAATTCAATAAATCAACTGGCTAAACGTTAACAAAAGCACATTCGTTTAGTTGCAATGTGTACACACAGCTACATCTTTTTCTTTAATTCCTAGCCTGCAATGAAATTGAAATAAGACCAAAACTGGAAGCATAACATGTCACAAGCTACCACAATATGGATTTTGCACAAGAAATTCATTTCCGACAGCATGGAGTAGGGAAAGGAGGGATGAAAGAGAGAGAAAAGATCGGTAAGAGGAAAATTCAGTTTCTCTAATTATCCCTGGTTTCGTGAAGCTGCAGAGCTCTGTGCTGAATTATTAATATTTGGCTTAACAGGTTTGGACAAATAGCTATGTAGGTCAGGCTCACTTTGAGACCCTGACAATACTGAAGCTAATATTCAGAAACATCTGAAGGGACGTGAAACCTCAGATGCATTATTAAAGAACATGGCTTTCAACTAGTCCAGGAAACTGCATGTAATTAATGCCACAATAATTATGATTTCCCTGTAAAGAAAATATTCTTTTGCATTTCGTTCACCTGTTTACAAAACTTTGCTCTCCTGCCTTCATTTTCTCTTAGGCTTCTAGTGTTTATTATGATGCTTGTTAGCAAATCTGAGCGGGGAGGGAGGACAACAAAAAGGGTCATTCTTCTAAATTAAGCCTTTATTTTATGTTGGAACTGTATCAGCTTAAATCAAGCATATTTCATACAGACATATAGACCAGTCAACAGTTGCTATGCATGAAGAAGAAGGGCGGGAAGGCTATCCTTTGTGTGTGTGGTCCTGCTTCTCTCAAGGCATAGCCTCTGGGCCTGTGTACCACTGAACGTCTCTCAAGTGAACTTCATATATCCCAATGAAATGGAACAGATGGGTTATTTTCTGACTCTAGTCATATGCCTCAACATGCTGCTAGCTCTCTCTCCATGGTCCTGGCCCAGTAGCTTTGTGGTAGCATGTGTGGTCCTACCATATTTGATGAAGGGATATTTCAGGTAGATGGTGAAAAGATCAGTCACTCTAGACTACACATGACTCCCAACACTGATGTTCTCCCACAACGCACAGGAGAGATTCAGGGAGCATTTGAGCTGAGGAAACTATGGAGAATGCCAGTGAAACCTGGTCAGCTTCTTTCCCACATCTTCAACAGGGTACAAGGATTTCATTGCTCTGGAACGGGTTCCCTGAAGGTAATACCTTCAAACTGCTAACTAGAGCATTGGCTATCCACATATACTGTAGATTATACCCAAATTTGTATAGTTTGAGTGGTTAGGGTTTCTTTTAAAGCCAATAATATTATTATGGTGCCAAAGTTAGAGTTTTGATTAACTTATTATAAATACAGCTAACTGCATTTACACACTGGGATTCTTAAATGTTTAAAGTATGCTGGCAGTACTACAATCAAATTACAGGTAACAGCCCAATTATGTTCTGTTTTCAGCTGCAGCCAGTGGAATCAGTGGGACTGGAATATGCCTAATTAAGCATAGGTGGCTCCCTAAGGCAGAACTGCTAACAGTTTTGCTTCATTTTGTTTTGTGTTAAAATGTCAAAGCCATCTTGGATGTATGGCTGGACTTACACAATATTTGGCCAAGTTATTTTGCCAAACCATGACTGCAGCTTTCCTGCTGAAAGTCATTTCTGGTAGTAAAACTTTGTAGAACAGACTTAGTTGGTGGGAGAAGAAATCAATTCCCATTGCTCTGGAATTCCCCCCCCCCCCAAAGTTCAGTTCTATATTTCCATTGCAAACAAGCAATTTGGAAATGTAATGTAGTTACATTAGTGTAATTCCAGCCTGTGTGTATAAATGAGATCTCACAATAAAAGGAACTGAAAATAGGGTACCAAGATGATCTGTCTATTTGTCCTCCCTTTATCCCTCTTCATTTACCTGGCTGATGACTTGCTTAGCACAGTACTTCTGACATCTCTTCCTCATCAACGTTTATTTTTCTCAGCACCTCTCCAATGCCATTTCCTCTACTGGAGTGACTGACATTTCCAATCAGAGGCTACCTTTTAAACATATCTGGGTGTGTGGGTATGTGTGTGTGTGTGTGAGGGGCATCTTCTAAAAGTTTTCCAATAGTTTTAGATAGACCTTTCAAAGGATTAATTCAACTTTCTTTCCTGCAGCTTCCAAATGTCACTCTACTGCTTGGTATCTATCCATCCATCCATGATCTATATTTCTCCAGAATTATATGACTTCAGCCTGAAGCTGTGGAAAAAGTTGTATGTTTGTAATTCTCTTCTTCCATAGTGCATAGAAAATTAGCATAGAAAGGAAGAAATGTATAACATTTGATATGTATGATCATTTTGTTATATTTGAGGAACACCATAAGCCATGACAACTTTCATTTCTGAAATGCCAAGCAAAGTGATACAGACCAATAAAAAAATTACTTTTGGATTGCGTTTATTATATAAAGGGCTCGTCTGGTCACCTTTTTTAGAGAATTGGGTAAAACCCACAGTATGTCAGATACATGTGAAATGGAAATTGATGAACCTGCACAAAAGCTTTCCATTTGTACAGATGGATGATGTGTTGCCAAGTAACTATGGAAAGGTTGCAGGCACTGCTTAGCTCAGAATGACATTCCCTACAGCTGCCCTTGAATCATTCTTTTTCTTTCAACAGCTCACCATCTAAAATCAGAACAGACCTGGGTCCTTGGTTGGTTCATCTCAATCAAAATATTGGTCTGACTTTCGTATTTAGCACCACTATGGCAGATGGTGCTGGTACTTAGCTCCAACCACTCTTACTACATGGAGAAGTCACAGTGGTATGTTATGCACAGAACTCTGCATACACTGGCTTTCAATTCACTGCACTATTTATTCAAAAGCCCAGTGAAAGAACATCACTCTAGTGGGTACAGAGCACTCTACTGAAAGGGAGTGTGAAAACTCTTTGTATTCCTGAATGTGATACCAGAAATGGAAAATCATGATGATCCATTAAGGGCTGCTGCCTATGAAAGATGGCAATGCAGTTCTAGTTGGGCCCATCACTGTGACTGGCCAATGCCAGCATAGGATGCATTCATAATCATTAGAGTTAAAAGAAAACTCAGTGAGGATCAATAAAGGGACACTGACTCAGGTTTTAATGCACCATGTGAGCTTAGGGGCTCTTGAATGAGAAACTAAACAGAGCCTACGGACCAACTCAGAAACACTCAACCACTTTGGCTGGTGTGGGTCTTCCGGGCTGTGACTCAACCACTTTGCTTTGGAAAATACAGAAGCTCAGGGACAGGGGTTTTCTTTTCTTTTCTTTTTAAGAAGAGGAGGGAAAAAGGGGTTTGAAACTTCCTACATATTTTCCTCTGAGCAGTGCTTGATAGGAAGATATGGACAAGCCTCACAAAATTAAAAACAAAAACAGAATAAAAATAAAAATGGCATAGTTTATACTGATGGTGGAAAATTGTTACTCCCAATTTAAAAAAAGAAGAAGAAGAAGAAGAAGAAGAAGAAGAAGAAGAAGAAGAAGAAGAAGAAGAAGAAGAAGAAGAAGAAGAAGAAGAAGAAGAAGAAGAAGAAGAAGCCAAAAACCTGAATGAAGATCTAAGGATTGAAGAGTATAAATGTTCAAAAGACACACACATTGAAATGACTGGAAACGTTTCCTAAAGACGTTGGATGGATTTCATAGCAGGGGCAAGCACAGGAAAGATCAAGATGGTGGCCATGATCATGCAATACTTTTTCACATGTATTGCTAACATGGTGCACATTGACCTTTTGGCCCTCACCCTCCATTTCCTAGTCTCTTTCTACCAGGGGATTCTTTAAAGCATAGAAGAAAATAAGAAGGGGTGGAGAAAATTACTTACGTCGTTTGCAGCCACATTTTTTTATCCTTTTGGGATCTGTGATGTCATCGTGACACGCTTTGCAATAAAAGAATGCCCTAGAGGGGAGGGAGAAAGTGGAAAAACTGACACTTTTCTTAATTCATACAAATGAAATTAGTTCTACATTTTCTCTCCATTACAAGTGTCAAATTAATAAAACATGCCAGCACTAATTTCCTTTAATCTTTTGAAAGGTTTAGACATTTAAAGAAGGAAATGTTTGCTACAAGACAATTAATTTCAAACACTGGCTTGGGTGATTCAAGTTCATGCTTCTTTTAATAAATTTAACTTGAAAATAATTGGGGGGAATGGTTAATAAATACGACATGGTGGATCAGATCATTCAGCTTTCATCTTGGAAAGAAGCATCCACAGTGACTTTTTTATCCAAACACACACGAGATGAAAAACCCATTCTTGGCAGAGGAACTGCAGACTCAAAGACCCCTGATTTTTAATTGTTTATGCTTTTTAAAAACAAAAAAACAAAAAAACAAAGACCAGACAGAAGATACAGAAGACTATTTGTTCCACTTAGTTTCACATGGCTTAATGGTTCTGAAGGAATTCAAATGCTGCTGTGGAAGAAATGCAGGACAATAGCATTTATTGCTGTAATTCCAGTGCCAAGCTACCTCTGCAGCTTTGCAGATATTGGTTTCGATTCAGAGCGCTCTCTATATTGGTGAGAAGTTCTGCTCATGCAGTGAAGAGGATTGTCTATTTTTTCTTTTCTATACCTTAAAAAACAGGCTTTGGGAAGTGAGAGGACTCCCAAGAACGCTTTTCAAAGGTAGAGTTTACTGAAATTTGGAAAGGGAAAAAAATAGAGCTTCCTGCTTGCAGATCAGGAACATTTAACCTAGGCCCTTTTGATTTATCAATTCATTATGTTACTGTGCTATATTGGGCTTGAGCTAAATGACTTTCTTCCATACGGATGTGATAACTTTTCTGCCTTTGTACACTGATAAGGTTTTAATTGGCTCTATTTTTGGGGGGGCGGGGGCGGGGAAGAGATTCAAACTGTATTGGCCATCTCACTGAAAATGTCAACTCATTGTGCCATGAGAAAAGACAATAGAAATTTGTCTTTGGGATAAGAAAAATGGGATAGAAATTAAGAAATGAATTGAAAATAATGTCTTTTGCATCATAACACTACAAGTAAATCTATAAGAATTTGGAATAGGCATGCATTTCTGGTCACTCACAACTCTAAAATTGGAGACTTTTAATGGTAAAAAAGCAGAGTTAAATGTATAAACCAGTACATGACATGCTAATACCACAACCAATGATGCTAAAATGATCATCATCAGTCTTACAAGAAATGTAAAATGTACAGAAGTCTTCAGTTTGGGGAGAAAATCTCATTAAGTTATATGCTGAAAATAGGGGACATAGCAGAGGTACATAACATTATAAATGGAAAATGGATTTTTTTCCTCCCCCTTTAACAGAAGGGGATGCAGAAGATTCAGCCTGGATATAAGAAGGTAGGCACTGTACCAGACAATATAAAAGCAATTCACTGTCCTAATGCTGAGTTGCTTTGATAGGATTACCAATCTGAATTATCAAGGAGAATAAGCTCTAATTGCTAAATCAAGTCTCCACATTGAGACACCATGCTGTACCTTTGCATAGTATAAGATGGAGATCTCCAAAGTCAGGGGAAGCTTCTGATCCATCCAGAAGTCTATGCTGAAAACAGAACACCTAGGCTGACTGGACTTTGGTCAAATTTAGCAAGAACTGTTTCCATGTTCAGTGAATGCCTGCAGGTTTCTCTGACTCCTTACCACATAAAAGTATCCAGAGAAGGGTTTTCTTTAGCAGCAAGTGCTTCTTAAATGTCTGACCCCTTTGATACTTGTCAATTCCTTCACCACTCTTATCACATCACATCCTGCCCCAGCTGTTTCTGGGACTGGGAAAACCTCTGGAATGCATCAAGGACTCTAAGAGATAGGAGGAGTGCAATTCATCTGTGCCATATTAAGGGAGCGGAGCTTAAAACTACCACTGGATATGACTGGGGGAAAAAAAAATCTGGCTGATTTAATAACCTAAGTTTGACACAAACATTAACAAGGAATAAAAAGCCAGAGTGACCAAGCGTTACCTTTTCACTTCTTTGGCATCACTTGCAATGAAGAATCCTAGAGTACCCTCTTGAATTTTCACATGGTTTCCAGGATTGATTAATATACTGCCCAGTAAAATGGAACAAAACGACAAGCAGAAATCAAAAAGAGAATGCTGTATGGACATGCTACTTTTGAGCTGTGAAACCAAATTCATTACTCCTTATTATTCTGTTATAGGGGGCCCATTAGTTTGGAAAACCCAACAGTCAACTAGAAGCCATTTTTATGAAATGTTTCAAAATACCAAATATTAGCTCTATTGAAACATTGAAGCAGAAAGCAAGTCAAACTTGTATCACTAAAGTCTTATCTTAAGACTTATCTTAAAGGCTGAGCAACTTTAATTAGAGGGAGAAAGGGGAAAATGTACAAAAAGCTTTGATTTTTGCTCTGCATTAAAAGCTGACAAAATCATTATGATTGATGCAAAGAGAAATGATTCCCATGGAAAATGTTTGCTTGGAAGAGGCTTTCTCCTCGGGCAGTTTACCCCTTCATGCCAATTTCTGTTGAAATAGAGTATTATTAATGGGCCCCCTATTACTGTCTATCACATGATTTATAGCATAGTACATATATATGCTTAGGGGGAATGGTACAAGACAACCATTTACGATTGCTAAAGAAAACATAAAACGAGTGCAGTGGTTAATCATTCTTCCAGCCCAAAGCCTCTTTTCAGAGTGTTGTCAATAAATAAGTTACTCATCCTTTCCAGAAAATCAGATCAACTACATTTCAAGGGTTAGACTAATCTCATTGGACTGACTTCTGCGTTTATGATGTACGCTCTTCAAAATTAACAGTGCACAATTTAACAGTCTTGGACCCTGCCTTTGGGAAGAGAGGGTGAACATGGACAGCCACTGATGAAGTAGTTAACTTATACATCTGGAAGAATAAAGATTTTGGCAACCAATAAGTTTGTAAGTTTCAACATTCAACATCAAAATCCACTACACTGCAGGAGAATAAACAGCCAGCACACGAAGCAGTTGTATATGGTCATCCTGCAAGAAATACCCACCTGATAGAACATGATCTATAGTTACTGTATTTTTTTCCCCTTTGCATACAGATTTGTAATCCTCTCTGGGAACTTTGGTCATTGGACAGATTAAAAATGTAATAAACAAATAAGCAATGTGGAATACATTGTAGGAATGCCTGGTCTCTATTTAGTGAGTATCAAGATTTTCAAAGGATATTTTTTATAAGAGAGTAGATGATTCTATGTTCCATGTGTATCTTCCAATGACCTGATCCTGCCCCAGTTTCTTAACAGTTCTCATTTTAATGCAACACTTCCTACAAAGGAAGGAAGGGATTCTCACTGCTTCAAAAAAGGAGGGGGAAATAGGAGGGGGAAAAAAGGTGGGGAAGAAGGGATTCTCACTGCTTCAAAAAAGGCACTAGGTTAATTTAGCTCAACAAAATGCTTGTACTGATGAATTCACAAAATTGGTTTCTTCCTGTAAAATCATAGGGAGTCCTACATTTTCTATTATCTTTTAATGCTGCGGTCAAATATAAGATCTATTGGTTTATACAATGCTAGTTATTAGCTATTGTAATTCATTTGTGCTACTGAAAAAGCCAGTCTTCTACAATATACATTTTCTAGGACTAAGCACGCTTTGAAAGTGTGCCTTCCACCTTGCACCTCTCTGCATTTCATTAAAGCAGACCACCTTTTTTCAGCATGAATTAGTGTAACTCTTAAAGCAGCAGGACCTACTTTTCAAGCCTGTGTTGATGTCTGAAGAAAAAGGAGCTGTTCAAATGACTAGCAGAGAGGTGGTGTGCTCCTGTGAGGTCTGAAGCACTTCCGATCCTTTTCAAAGTGTGCACGGTGCAAAGCATGCTTCAGCAATTTGGTGGCACTTAAATGCTAACTTATGAATCCTGTCCTCCCAAAATGGATCATTTAAATTATTTTGGAACCTTTGTGTGGGAAAACATGAACATTTTCAAAGTAGTTTAACAGAGTTTCTAAGGAAAGTTTGATTGTCTATCTGTCTAAAATTTCATCTTTGTTAAGTGAGAAGAGTTAACATCCATGCAATACTTGTAGGAAACAAAGACTGCCATGATTAGAATCAATTGGGACTTAGTAGAAAACATGTTTTAAGGGATGAGACAGTGAAAGCACATACATATGAACACATGGCACAAACAGTGTAAGATACACATGGTACAGCCTCCTGGCATTATCTTTAGCCGTAATTAGATCCTGATGTTCCTCCTGCTATCTACTTGTAAATTATATTCTTCTGAAAATATGTGAAGTGCACGCAAGAGATTTTGCAGGAAAAACTTGTGGTTAGACATAATGCTGCTAAGTGGAAACTAGTTTCAGATTTACCATAATGCCTGAAATATCTAGCATCTGCAGTGCCATGTTTGAGAGGAGGAAAATAACTGGCATTATTTGGCAAATCCCCTTCTCCATCATGGATCAATAATGACAAGATGGTTTCCATTCCTGCCCTATCCAGGCCTT